AGCAGCAGCTCGGCATTCTATCCCACTCCCATTCACACTGACTGCCCCACCCTCTGCCGGCCGGCCGGCCAGTCGGACAGACGGACAGACGGACGGACGGACAGACGGACAGACGGACGGACGGACTTCGCGAGGGCTGAGGCGGCCGGCAAATTATGCGACGAGGCGCAATCAGATGCAGCAGAAACGATCTTTCATCGGCCTCCGTCGGTATCCAAGCCCGTGCTCGAGTGTGCATGCATAATGAAAAGGCGAAACACAGTCTGCGTGTGTCGGCATGCCGGGACCTGTTAGGCGACAGTCGGCCGGTTGCATGTCGTCACGGCCTGCTCGTCCCGTACTCACCGGCCCGACAACAGCACCGGTGACAACAGGCCACAGCCGTCATCAGTAGTCGTGACGCTGTCGTGCGCACCAGTTGCCGCTTGTCTCGCCCATCCTCACATGCACCGACTTTATCCTCTCGTGGCAGGACTCTACTTCTGCCAACCGGTACAGCATGAGAGAGAGAGAGAGAGATAGAAATGGTGTGCCGCCACGAGGCTAGGGGCGATGGGTTCGAGTCCGTGCAAGGCGAGGGGGTTGGCGAAGTGGCGAAAGAAGACATTTTTACGGACAGCGAAAACGAGACGGGTACCAACATCATAAAATGCATGCCTAAACACACACACGCACACACATACACACTTCTACTTGGCGTATCCTCTGGCCGCGTGTCACATTTGTAGCGATGATGACTTTCGAGGGAACCCGCAAGACACTTCCATTTGACCGAGGCAGTCAAGTTACACGAAATCGTTTCGAAATAGACGCCAAAGTCAACAGTGAAAGGATATACCAAAAAGAGTTGTGCATGTGTGTGTGTGTGTGTGATGACGAGATGCGAATGTGAATCCCACCAGAAGATGATGGCGGATGGCTGCTGGGTTTACCAGAACATTCTTGCTCACGCCGGCTGATTCACAGTCCAACGGACATGGAAAAGCGCTGCCGTACTCAAAGTACCAGAGGAATCTGGACAGAAACGAATGATGAGTTGTCGCGCCAAATATGCCCAGATTACATTCAAGGAGAGGAGCAGTGGAGGGAGAAGTT